ACCACTGCGCCACCGAGGCTGGTGACCTTGCTTACAATTTCTCTGGGTTGCAAGGAAGTATTTGTGGAAGCCCCTTGGGATGGGCCATAAAGGGACATCATCCTTTCTGCTCTTTTGTGTAACGTTGCTTACCCCAAAAGGGAATAAATAGCATGAAGGTTATGTATGTATGGCTTAATCACCCAAGAAGTGAGCCCCTAGGACAGGTGTGGGCAATTAATTTCTCCAAGGTGCCACATGAGAAATTGGACTGTTTTGAAAGGCCAAAATCAATAGGGCTGTGAACAGGGATGGGATTCCACCAGTATTACTATCAGTTCGGTGACTACGTTTTGCTGCGTGCATGTGTAAAAAAAACCATCAGCTGTGCTGCCCGGACAGCTAAAAAGCACTGTGCGTGGGTGGGCAGCATTTGAAAAGCCACTTTTTCTCTGCTTTTTCAACCTCAGCTGTGCCGTGCAAAGCAGCTGCGGTTGAAAAAGCAGGAAATAAAGGACAGGTAAGAGCCTGGGCGGGCGGGTAGGCCAAACAGCAGCAGACCCAAAACCGGTTCTGTGTCTGCTGCTCTTCAGAGCTACCGATTCTATAGAACCGGGCAGAACCAATAGCATCCCACCCCTGGCTGTGAAGGTTCGTAGGTATGCACGCACACATACAAACTGAAAATAAGAAGCAGTCATCTTCAAAATACGGTAAAGTCAATTGCATGCCGGGCATACACTTACTTACATCTTATTTTTAATTTCCAGTTGAAATTAGGAGGAGCCAGACAAAAGGCCAGATGCGTAAAATGCCCAGATCTGCCCTAGAAGTACAATCGGTGGTGGAATTTAGAACAGAACAGTAGAAAGAGGAAAACTTGAACCGAACAGGTTGGATTTTATTTTATTTTTTAATTTTCATTCACCAGGGAAATGCTTAAGATACTATTCATATACTATTAATTTATTATAAATCTCCATTCACTGTAATAACACGATTGCTTTAAAATTATACATTACCTTTTTCTGGGGGGGGGGGGAGTGACTCACGCAGACACACAGACATCCCGAGCTGTGCTCTAAATCAACGGTAGTCACTATGGGGAGCAGGTTTCAATACCCACCAATCCAGAGCTCCAGGTTCCCCCACCGTTTCCTTGCGAGATCCAGTAAGGTAACCCTCCCTATGAAGGGAAAGTTATTTGGTGTATAGAGATGTATTTATACCTGAAATTAATATGAAAGTTTGCCTTGAAAAACAGATGGGCAAGACTGTGGGAAAACTCAGTGCACTGGGAAACCTATGGACCATAAACACCTCATAGATGGCTAATGGTACTATAGTTCATTCAAGTTCTATCGTTAAGCTTAGTGTACCAACTATATGTAACACCGTGGGAGTATTGGGGTAAGCAAGAGTGAGAAGGAACATTTGGCAATAACCTTACTAATTCAGACTCATTGAGTCTGACAGAGTTTAGCATCTGCTAAGAATGTTGGATTATCTTCTCCTCTTTGCAGACCAGCTTAGTTTGGAGGGAAGAGTAATATAATGCAAGACTCTATGATGACCCATCTAGAAACTGAAAGATTTTCATTAGTTACAGGATGGAACATAAACCACCTCTTTGCCTTCAACATCTGGTATTTAATTATGCTACTTGCACTGGACCTGACTTTCCTTCCATTTCTCACAATCAGCAGGCCTTGACTGATCTACCAGGAATGGGAGCATGTCATCTTCCAGACCAGAGTTTCTCAATTTTAGCAGCTTTATGAAGTCTGGACTTCAACTCCCAGAACTCCCCAGCCACCCATGCTGGCTGGGGAATTCTGGGAGTTGAAGTCCAGACTTCATAAAGTTGAGAAGGTGGAGAAATGGTACTCTACTCTACTCTGCAGCAGCAGGGAACTGCTACAAACTGGAGACCAAATAAATTTGGAGGGAGAAAAGTTCCCTACCGCTGATGCATCACCCTTTAAAAAAAGTGAACTAGGACACAATTCCCCTTTGTGAAACTGATCTTCAGTAGACGGGTATGGAACCTTTCATAGTTTACTAACTTAGAAAACCCCATTAATTCTTTCTAATGAGCTTCTGGGGATACAAAGGTTCATTGTCTTGGTTATCCAAGAATGTAAAAACACAAAAGGAAATGGTGCTTTGAGCACTCAAGTCAGAGGTTGTATTCAGCAGGTTCTGACCAGTTCTGGAGAACCGGTAGCGGAAATTTTGAGTAATTCGGTGAATTTCATTCAAATTGCAAATCCCACCTCTGACTGGAGAAGATTTTACAGTATCCTTCCCCTGCCATGCCCACCAAGCCACGCCCACAGAACCGGTAGTAAAAAAAATTGAATCCCACCACTGACTCAAGACACTCTATGCCATTGCAAAATACTTTGGGGTAGAGTTGTGCCAAATGCTGCAATGACCAACGTAATGAATGTTAGACTGTGGGCGGCGCTGCAGTGATACTTCAGAGATTATGCTGCAGACAGAACAGCACAAATATTTGAGGTCAGGTTGTACCAAGCCAACTTAAAAACAAACAAAGAAAGAAAACAAACCCACACAAAGCGCAAAACCAAAATTCTTAAAAATAATGTGAAAACATTCCAAATGCCCATGTTAACCAAGATATTGCTCTGTTGAACATTAAAAAAAATGCAAACAGAAGCAACTGGAATGCTTTGTGGGGTTTTTGTTGTTGTTGTTGTTCTTTTCCCCCTCTATCTGTAGAACTAGGGAACACTTATCCTTACCTTCTCAGTATCATCAGTAATAACTAAAAAGCCTTAATTAACCTGTAGAATCAACTGCTACAATAGGTAAAAGGTCCTATCAGATTCTATTAAATGACAAATATTTTCATAAAGGTTATCTACAGAAAGGATAAAAGGTAGCCACAAAAATTATTTCACTACAGCAAAAAACACTCTTCTATGGACAGCTAATTCCAAACCTTCCCCACTGTGTAACTTATTTTTCATTTTCTGGCTACTTCTGTTAGATCTAGATATACAGCCTCAGCTGGCTTCTAAAGTTCAACATTATTTGCCTTCTTTTCATTAATTAATCAACACAACTCTCTGGTTAGTAGATCACCACATATTCCTGATGGATCTTTTCTTTCTCTCCAATTTTCTTTTTTTTAAATATAGACAAGAACCCGAGGCACAGAAGGAACAACTCTGCCTGCAAAGTACCAAGATTCAAATAAAATTTTCTCCAGTCTGAGTAGCAGGGACTGCTAGATGGATCAGAACTGGAGAGAACATGGATCTGAACATAAACTGGACTTAACAAATCAGAACATACACAGAAATTAAGGGATAAGGTAACTGCAGCTCTTCTGGACATTCCAACTTTGTCCTGAAGGCTGTGATGTTTCAAATAAAATAAAATAAAAAATAAAAAAAAGCATTAGAAAAACAGGACTCAAGGTCCACTGAGAATTTTGGTAAGATTCTTCATGGTGGAATAAATGCTATCTATACGTGACCAGCTCACCACAAAAAAGTACAAATATCCTCCATTTTATTACATATTGCATTCATGTTTAGTGGTCCGCTAATCCAGGTGTGTTGAGTTATTTTCAGATCCCACCTTGCTTAGTTTGGTTTTTAACCAGTCTGTGTGTACATGTGTGACACCCACCCACACAGACATACATGTACACACCTCCTCAGTCCCCTGGGCAACTGAGGGAGTCTCTGGCCTGGAGAAGTCCAAGCACAATAGCCACACAACAGTCTCTTAAAGTGCCAACGCACAATTTGTCTTCCTGTCATTAGAGAATTATGACCATCTTCAGCTGCTGGACGTCCATTCCTAATTGCCCAATGCTGAGAAAGATCAGCAAAGAACAACAGATCCAAGATTTTACAAACATAATTTTCAGAGAGGCCTCAAGGGAATTCAACCCACTCAGTTAACCACACAAGAAATCTGGAGGGAAAAAAAAATCTCAGTCCATCAAAACACAAGGTTCATTCACTTGGGCCTCCTAATTTAGCAGATAGTTGTAGAGAGTCAGGAAATATCATTCTCCCCTAAAGCCAAAGACTCATTCAGGCAATTTTACACCTTGTCTAAATTACTCCACAGAGTCTTTACATAGAGATTGGGAGCCTTCCCATCTCTCTTCACTTGTGGCCTGGTCCGTTCAATCCAGCTTCTCTCAGTCCAGTCTACCCAGATGTATCTGATTACAACTCCCATCCTCCCCAGGTTGAAACGGAGGAGGATGGGAGCCACTATCCAGCATACCTGGAGATCCCCGGGCCGAGAGAAAGGCTGTTTTAGGTGAGCCAGAAACAAAGGGAATCAACACAAGGGAATCACCAGGAGGTTCGCTCATAATTAAATACAATTTGGAGATTATCAATAAATAATTTGATAGTTTTCCATATAAAAACAGAAGTGATATATACAGGATTTCAAAGTATCCCCAATATTCCTGTGAAGGACCTATTTGAGAAATAACCAAACATTGATAACTCTGAATACCCACCTGGAATTTGGAATATTCCAAGGCTCTGAGCAAAATTCAGCACATCTAAGCATTCATTCTAATTTACCCCGTAGTTTTCTCCAAATCAATGTGCTGCAGCTGCATTGAACCGTAGCCTCATAAAATTCCCAGAAAACTGCAGTTCAACACCCCTACAGCAATGTTCTTCAACCTTGGCTGCTGGAAGATGTGTGAACTTCAGCTCCCAGAATTCCCCAGTCAGCAAGCTAGCTGGGGAATTCTGGGCGTTGAAGTCCGCACATCTTCCATCAGCCAAGGTTAAAGAACACAGCCATAGAATATTTCAGGCAGGAAAAGGCTGATCTGTATCACTTAGAACTGACCACATCTTTAGACATTGCTAAGTTATAGTCAATTGAAAGCAAACTTTCTGGGGCAGAGATCCATCAAAAGGGTCCTACACTCTTCAGAAACAAAAATAAAGGAAGTTCCCCAAGACACAGTTATCTCTACCTTCCCTTCCCATGGGAGCAACCTGTTAAAACAAGGGGATCGGGTAGGCAAAGAGGGGGTTCTCTCGGTTGTGGATCTTCTCATGTCTCTTGTGGTGGGAGCTGTGGCTGAAACATTTGCCACAGAACCGGCAAGCGTAAGGTTTCTCCCCGGTGTGGATCCGATGGTGCTGGACCAGGGTCGATTTGTCAGTGAAGCAATTCCCACACTCGGTACACACATACGGCTTTTCGCCAGTGTGGATTCTCTGGTGTCGAAAGAGGTTAGAACTGACGTTGAAGCTCTTCTCGCAGATGTTGCACTTGTAGGGTTTCTCCCCCGTGTGGATGCGCATGTGCTTGATCAGGTCAGCATTGTGGCCGAAACTCCGCAGGCACTCCGTACACGTGTTCATCACTTCCGCCTTCTGTTTCGCTTTGGGTTTCTCGTCAATGGCGCCGGCGTTGGCCCTGCCCACCGGGGGGCAGGCTTCTTGGGGCTCCTCCACCGGCTCCTTCAAATGCTTCTTCTTGTGAGAGCTGCGGCTGTAGCTTTTGCCACAGTCAATGCACTCGTAGGGCTTCTCGCCCGTGTGGATCCGTTGGTGCTGAGTAAGGTTGGACTTGTCGTTGAATCGCTTGCCGCAGTCGAGGCAGATGTACGGCTTTTCCCCGGTGTGGATCCTCTGGTGTCGGTTGAGGCTGGAACGGACAGAAAAGCTTTTCCCACATTCAGAACACTTGTGCGGTTTATCGTCGCTCTGGACAGGCCACGGGCTGATCAGGCTGGAGTTCTGGATGAAGACCTTCCCACATTCAATGCAGATATCCGGGATCTCTTCGGTTTGGGTACCCCGATGCACCAAGAAGGCTTTGCGTTTCTTGATGGTATGCACTGGTTTCACAGGCCATGTCATCGTTGGTATTTTCTTCTCCCTTGTTTCGGACACGCGGGCTTGGCTGTGTCCAGGGCTTAAGCTTAGCATCTTAAACAATTTTCTTTTGGTCACCAGCTGAGACCGAGCCTCCTCCGGGCTAAAGTTCTCCATATGGCTCATCCTGTGACCTCCTCTTACCTGGTGGGGGAGTCAATATGTTGTACAGTTAAGGTTGGAGAATTCACACAACAGGAAAAACATCTATACTTTAAGCCTCCCTCACCACACAAATGTAAGCCCACAGCATTCACAGTCCAGTGTTGTTGTTCTCATTTCTGGAAAAGCTGCATTCCTTGAAAAAAATTTCCATGTGACCTATTATCTTCTGACTTCCACTTTTTAATCATTTCCCACCAATTCACCTACTTTTCTGTTAAAGATCCAATTTATCTGCAGACTTGCAACGCAAACAACTTCTTTAAAAAGTACACACTGAAGTGGAGTAAAATTTGCAGGACTCCTACCAATTCTATGCAGGAAAATCTACGCTACAAGGTTCGAAGAATAACCATGCTCTTATCAATTAAAAATGACGTGAAAAACTTGCCTCTGGAGTTCTTGGTGCTCCCTGTTCTTGGTTATTTGCTTACAGGCATTTCATTACCCAATTTAGTAACATCACAAGGCACAATGAAGTTACTTAGTTGCATAACAAAATGTCTGCAAACAAACTAAGTTCAGAGAGTACCGAGAACCCCCTTCATTATTTTACCATGTTAAATTATTTAAATGTTACTAATAGCACATATGTGTTAGACATGCTTACAAGTACAGTATGATAGTTGGAAAGTTTGGGGTTTTGTTACATTTTCCTTTTTTTTACACATAAAATAATATTCAGAATTTAAAATCCTGCATTCCCTAGAAAGGGTCAAGGGGACTGAATGGGTGCTTCAAACATTAGAGGGTGGACCAGATTCTGATGTCGGCAAGCAGCAATTTACTGCACTTATAAAGCCAGACATATTTGCCTAAGTTTAGATTGGACAGTCATTAATGTCCTGTAACAGTAAAAAAAAAAAAAAACCTAATAAAACGACACACTCCCCCCACCCCATCTTCTGCTAAGGGCCATCATTTATAAATTCTAGTTCATTTCTTCCTCAAGCAAACAATCAAGTAAAGCACATCCTATAAGGACTTTATTCCAAAACATTTCATTTACTCACTACAAAGACAAGGGTCGTTTTGATTAAGGAACAGGAAGACATTCAGAATACAAAGGCTTCCACTCACACCTGCTATCACTAAGATAATAGGAAGCCTTATAGTAGACTATCATCTATAAGCGACACTTTGCATTTCGCCCGGAGTGGGAGAAGGGAACAGAAGACAGTTCAGAAAGGAAAGGTATTCTGCGTATGCTCAGAGACACTATGCTTCCTCGCTTGTTCATCCTTTCTTCCCACCCCAGGAGGAGGGTAGCAATGCAAAGACTTGCAACTCGACCCGCCGCTCTCCACTCCCGGGCGCTTGGCGGGGACATTCTACCTTGTGCTCCCGGACGCCCGAGCTCATAAAGGCGGCAGCGGCGGGCGCCGCGTCCCGCGGAAGCCGCAAACGGGTTGGCAGAGGCGGAGAAGCCGCGGAGCCGCTTTGTGCCGGGGAGCCGGGGTGCAAATGGTCCGCGCGCCCGCCTACATCGCCGCCGCGCGCCTCCCGGGCTTCGGGGAAGGGCGCGAGAGCAGCCGCGCGCCTGCAACTCGCCCGCCTCGCCTACAATGGAAGAGCAGAAGGAGGCGGCTGCTTGCATCAAGAGCTACCTCTGACCCAGGAAACTAACTGAACGCTGCCAAGCGGCCCCGTTCAAACAAAGCCAAGCCGCCTCCTGATGCAAACGCCAGAGCCCCCTGCTGGACGAAGGGGGAATCTCGCAGCGGCCTGCTGGGAACTCCCTGCCTCAATGGCAGGGCGAGGGCGTGAGGCTCTCTGAGATTGTGCAGAGTGCCTTTGGAAGCTGGGTGGTCTGTATCAAAGGTTTTCCAGCTGTGAGAGTATTTGAGCGGATTTAAGGAAGTGTGAGTCTTAAAAATTCCTCTTGTTCACTCAACCCACAAATTAGCCAACTGTGTGTGAATTCAGACTTGGAGACAGTATGATTCAGTTTCTGGGATTCTCCATAAATGGATTAATTGTGAGAATGAATATATACTGTTTAACTAATATGCAATTACAGCATCACACATTCCTTACATTTGAGTAAGGAAGCCATTTATTTGTACATGGCCATCGCCGTTGTTGTAGCGTTTACATACTGTATGTGGGATGACTTGATTTCTCCCTGCATTCCTTTTTTCCCCCAATTCATTTCTGATTGCCATTAATTGCAGTTTTAAAACTGAGTTGTATATATGGCCTTTTTCCAGGATTAAGGGGATATATGGAGCCCTGGAATTTATGGAGTCAAAAGTTGTGAGTTTACATAACTGGCCCACACCTGCCATATTTGTATGTAAGCTAAAATTACAGTATCTGAAGAAAAGAGTGTGAAGGTGATAGAAGGTCCAGAGTTTTTCCTGCCTTACTTTCTCCCATTAAGCTTCTCACTTCATATCCCACTTATCCTTGAATCCTTCAGAAGGCCTCACACTCCGTGACCCCCACCTTGCTTTCCCAATCCTGCTGGTCACTGCTCTTTTTGAACTAGTAGCAGGTTGGGGTGCGGCTAGAGGTCAATGGAGGTGGGATCCAGCTGTTTTCAAGCAGGCAAAGCCCCCCCCCCCCCCAGCATTTCACTCTCTCTTCCACTCCCCACAGTTCTAGGATTTGAAATTTAAAGAGGTACTCACCTGCTTTCAAGCCGCTGTTGAGTTCAAATCTCAAGGAGTCCCTTTACTACCCAATGCCTCCCAGGGAAGGGTCCGTGGATGCTCTCCCCAGTCCATCCGGCTGGGTTTTGATCTCCGGACCCCATCCGGTGGCTAGGTTGGCTGGGAAGCCACCAGTCGCCAATTGAGGAAAGGAAAAAAGAAGCCTTTCCCTTTAAGGAATAGGCAAAGTTCTTTCCTTTTGTGGATTCAAATTTCCTGGCTGGGAGAAATGCAAAATGATTTGGTCAACTGCATTGAAAGTCAGAATCAGTTTATTAATAGGAAGGCAGGTAAAAAGAAATCTCACAGCGTTCCTAGGATTAATCTAATAAGTGAGTAGGAAAACCTCTCTCTTATACACTTCTTTGATTTTCTTTGAAGTCTTTGATTTGTGTTTGTGTTGTTCCTGTCTCTTTGAGATTGGGATCTTTTCCTGGGATCTTGGTTTTATGGTCCTGATCCTTTGTAGTTGCTTGTTTGCTATCATGTTTCCTTCCTGCCATGCCTTTTGGTTTGCTTTTCACAAGTTTTTATAACTTGCCATCTATTTGATTTCTATGGGAAAGGATCTTAGCTAGTTTGTAGGGGTTTTTTCTCTGTATCTCCTGCCTGTAATTTTCTCCTTCCTTTGTTGTGAAAAGTAAGCTGGCTCCAGGTATTTTAGTAGCCTTTCTTGACAAAGGGTGGGGGCTGTTTCCCTAGAAGAGGGGGGAATTGTAACTTTGAATCCACAAAAGGAAAGAACTTTGCGGTTTTTCCTTAAAGGCCAAGGCTTTTTTTCTTTCCTCAGTACCAAATTGGGAAAGAAACCTATTCCCTCCATTTAATGAACTCTTATTTCCTCAGGACATGTCTAGGTGAGTTAATCTGAAAGTAACACTACTTTTCTGGATTCTAGCTATGGATGAAACATTAGATCAGCCACAAAATGGAAATGGTCTCACTGCAGTGCCTCCTCAGTTGTTTTTTTTTTTAAATGATCTGATGCAGGCTGGAATACAGTATTGTTGAAAAAGTCAAGATAGCGGCCCCAACAACAAGACTGAAACTCTGCCTTTGGCCATAACTTGCAGACACCCCAAATACTGGCCAAAATGCTGAACCAGCAAGTCAGAATTGGTCTCAGTATGCAGCTTGGTGTGACTTGTACAGCAAATTGTTCACTGTGGTCAGTTCAATACGTGATTCAGCATGTGCAAATATGCTGTTGTTGGAAGTTGTGATTCCCCTGTCTTCTAGGAAAACATTAGAAGAAAGGAAGAGGTGAAAACACAAGCAGGGTCAGCTCCATCAGCCCCCACCCTTTGTCAAGTAGGGCTATTAAAATAGCTGGAACCAGCTTACTTTTCACAACAAAGGAAGGAGAAAATTACAGAGAAAAAACCCTACAAACTAGCTAAGATCCTTTCCCATAGAAATCAAATATGGCAAGCTATAAAAAAACTTGTGAAAAGCAAACCAAAAGGCACAGCAGGAAACATGATAGCAAACAAGCAACTACAAAGGATCAGGACCATAAAACCAAGATTCCAATCTCAAAGAGACAGGAATTCAACACACACAAATCAAAGGCTTCACTTCCAAATCAAAGGACCTGAAAAAGTATAAGAAAGGGGTTTTCTTACCCACTTATTAGATTAATCCTAGGAACACTGTGAGATTTCTTCCTATCTGCCTTCCTATTAATAAACTGATTCTGACTTTCACAGCAGTTGACCAAATCATTTTGCATTTCTCCCAGCCAAGAAATTTGAATCCACAAAAGGAAAGAATTTTGACTATTCTGTAAAGGGCAAGGTTTCTCTTTTTCCTTTCCTCACTGTCTGCCAATTGAGAGATTAAAAGTAATGAGGGAGATGGGCAGTTAAGAAATATGAAATATAAACAAAACAAATAACTTTCCCCACCTAAGAACTCCTTCAGTATTTCCAGTAAATGCAACAATTAAAATATGTTCATTTTGCCCTGATTTGGAAATTGAACATGCAAAAAAAAAATGCAACCAAAAGGTAAGTACTACATATAAGCAGGCTCCTTTTAAGCTGAGCCATGCGGATGACCAAATGCTGCAAGGAAGTGAAGCAAGGACTGACCGGTATAGAATGAGTCCAACCTCCCTGGACAGTTCCTCCTAGTGGCTGGACTTTATTTATCCCTCTTACAGATCTTTCACCTTCTCTTTCACAGCCCAAGAAACTAGGGAGGGTCTCTTCCCAGTTTCTTACCATTCCGACTATCCAGTTGCAGGCTAAGTGGTCTTATCTTATCATTGCCCTAGGCAGCATCTCCCAAGGTCCTTTCCCATATACCATCACAGAAAGTGCTTCCAGGCCTAAAAGATTCTGTTATTGTAAACTTAGAATAAGTAGTGTTAGTATTCATAATTTTGCTCTCTTGTCTGGACTACCTCAAAGGGCTGACACACACTGACTGCATTTATGGGGCTTCCTTCCAAGAAGGATTCTTTGATGCCTATTCAGGCTGAAGCTGACTCCAGAGCTTTTGCCACAGTCAAGTCATTTGTAGGGTTTTTCATCAAAATGCGTACACCGATAAGCTTGAGTTCTGGCTGAATGTCTTTCAAAATTCAGAAGATTGGTTTCTCTTCTGCCCAAGTGTCCTGGTATATGATAAAATCCTTGCACTTCTTGAACCCCTAAACAGCTTTTGCTGGCCTTCCTCTTCTTGTGCTTTAGCAATGCTATTGCTCTGCCAAAGCTAACAAATAACTCAATTTCTAGACCAGATTATCCACCGTGTAAAATAATCATTAATTGCATCCTGTACTCCTCATCAAACTTTGCAAGTTTGCTTGGTCCAATCAGTTCAAACTTATCCTCTGACCCCAAAGCCAATAAAATCTGTGACTGATGATCAAGAAGAAATTAGGATATACCTGAAAGAAACTGAATATATTTCCTGTTTAAATATCTTGTCTTTGTTTTAACACTTCAAACTCCATTTCCTTGTCTAACATTGTTTACCCATTGTGTAATATTTCCCTTTTTGGAGTAAACAATGCTATGCAAAGAAATGAAATCTGAAAATTAATAATGCTTTTCCATATTTTTCTATCCATGAGACCATGCTGGTTTTCACCTTGTCCATATATCATTTCATAAATTGCATGTATCTGTCGTACCTGCTCTGTATGCAACATTTTCTGCTAAAGGTAAGAACAATGCCAGCCATTCAAATCCCAGTTTTATCCCATCCATGTATGTATGCTGTTCTAAGCAAGCCAGCATCATTTATGCTCAATGATGCAGTGGTTAGAGCGCAGTACTGCAGGCTACTTCTGCAGCAGCCAGCTCCCTGCAATTTGGCAGATCGCATCTCACCAGGCTGAAGGTTGACTCAGCTTTCCATCCTTCTGAGGTGGGTAAAAGGAGAATCCAGATTGTTGGGGGCAATAGGCTGACTCTGTAAACCGCTTTGAGAGAGCTGTAAAGCACTACAAAGCAGTATATAAGTCTAAGTGCTATTGCTATTAGTTTGCAAACCAACATACTGTTGCCTGCATCACACAAGCTGAGATGCATGCAGTGTACTGACATGCATGTTGGGTGTTTCTAAGTTTATCTGGCTTCGGTAAAACATCTGAGTAATTTCCCAATTTATAGCCATGCAGGATTTCAAATGTAAGCTAAATTTCCAAACATCACCAAATATTCCTTTAAATGTTATGATTGCTAGTACAGGTAGTCCTCGATTTTCTGGCTGAGGAATTCTGGGAGTTGAAGTCCACAAGTCTTAAAGTTGTTAGGTTTGGGGACCCGATGTAGTGGCTATTCGAAACTACAACGGCACTGAAAAAAATGACTTACGACCATTTTTCACAATTACGATGTTTGCAGCATCCCCACCTGATCAAAATTCAGATGTTTGCCAAGTGGTTCATACTTACGACCGTCGCAGTGTCCCGGGGTCATGTGATCTCCTTTTGCAACCTTCTGACAAGCAAAGTCAATGGGGAAGCTAGATTCATTTAACAATTGGGTTACTAACTTATCAATTGCAGTAATTCACTTAATGACTTTGGCAAGGAAGGTTGTAAAGTGGGGCAAAACTCACTTAACAAATGTCTTAACAGCAGAAATGTTGGGCTCAATTGTGTGCATTAAGCCGAGGACTATCTGTAAACACTATCAACACAGTACAATTAATACATCTCTTTCTCTTTCAAACTATATTAAGACATGAGGAAACCCATTCTGAACAAGAAGCTACAATTATCTTCCCTCAATTTAGTACCTCCAAATATGCAGTTCCCATCATGCCCTTGACCTCCCTTTTCATATCCTCCATTTTCTGAATACCAAAAGAAACACCATAGCTGAAAGAGTGAGCAGTCATTAAAACAAACCAATACTTTATTTTGTTTGAACGAAATGTACAAAGGTGCTTATATTAATGTTTCCCGCAACATTAGCTTAGAAATTCCTCCTACTGCTAAGCTTCAAAGGGGAAGGAACTCATTCTGTTTTTCTTGCCATCATGGTCTCAGAGAACACTCTACTTCTTGCCAGATTTTTTAATCCCACCTCCAGCTGCAAAAAAAAAATAAAGAGTGGGGGGAGAGAGAGAGAGAGATTACCAATGGTTTTAGACAGATAGCATGAGAGGGGGAAAAAAACCCGAAGACCTTATTTCTCAGCCTGAGGTTTAAAGATAAATGCTCCCTGAAGTTCAGCTCAATTGCTCATGAGTACATGGACATCATTGTATAACGTTCTTCAATTTATTTCAGAAGTGATTTGCTGCTGCTTCCTTGTCAGATTGTTTTACCTTCTGATAAATCTCTACAGAAGATTCTTTCTATGAATCAGCCTACATTTTTTTTTTGATTTCTAGAAATGTTGCAATGTTTTCTATTGCCTTTCCTTTTTGGATTAAAATACTGCACATTTGGAAAATATGACGTGTTGACTACCCAGATTACTTTCAGACAAAACATGCTTCCATCTAAAAATGATCAAGCTTAATGCCTTGAATATGCAAAATGAACCCAGGAAGTGTTTAAATATAAGAAAATGTTATCAAGATTCAATTAGAAAGATTACAACATGACTTAGCTTTATCCTCCAATAAGTTCCAATGACCAACCCAGTCGAAGGATGTATTATTACTCTATCCTAGCTCGGTGCTATCTAGACATGTTAGACTATATCATACCGATTGGCAACAATACTATATGAGCTACACAGGCAATACATCTGAAAGGCAAGGGCAGGAAAAATACTTTATCCTAATAATTATCCTCATAAGTTCCATTGACGAGAATAAATATAGTTTCACAAATATGTTAAGCAGCTTACCCAATTAAGGGTCTACTAGCTAAGATTCCAGACAAAATCAAACTTGAAATTCTACTGAAAAAAAGTGGTAAGAGGAATATTTTCTTTATCCCCCTCCCCTAAGTAGAATATATATATATATTAGAATAGTAGAATATATATTTTTTAAAAAGCAGAGACTAAAATGTTGAGTGTCTGAGTCTTGTGATTCACCACTAATTTCATCACAAGTCTTTCTGGTATTTCTTTATCCTGAACTCTTCTGTAGCTCCATTGCTAGAGACGATCCCTCATTTACAGGGAACTTAAGAGAAAGCAACTTACTAAGCGGGCCCTTGCCAGCAGCTTTTGCCTTCATCTCATCCAGTTTCTTTTGCTCCTCCTTCTGCTTCTGCTTGAAAGCTTTATCTTCCTGTAAAGACATTTACCAACTAGAGTTAAAAATGAACACGGAGCATTAACCATCTTCTTAAATCATGCAATTTGACCAGCAGCCCCAACCTTCTCTCGTTTTTTTTCTCACCTCATCTAATTCCTTCGACTGCTTCTTGGCTTGTTTCAAAGGCTTCTTCTTTCCACCTATAGCGGAGGAGAGAATATGAAATTAGCCCACAATTAGCAACATCTCCCAATCTGGCATCTTCTATCAATGCTGGGATTCCCAGAATACCTTCGTGGCTGGGAATTCTGGGGCTTGAAGTCCCAGCGTACCTGGAGGAACCTTCAAGAAGAGATCGGACTGCCATTTGTCAGAAATGGTGTAGTCTCTTCCTCTTGGGCGGGGGGGGGGGGAGTTGGAGTAGATGACCTATAAGGTCCCTTCCAACTCTGATTACCTGTTATCTGTTTAACTGTGCTAAAGCAAACTGTCAGAGGGCTAAACAAAAAACTGAACATACCCAAACTATGTTTAGCTTCTCCAGATGGACCAGGCTGGACGCTCCTATCACACCCATCCAACATAACTCTAATTGCTGGGCATGATAGGGCTTGGAGTCAAAGAAACCAGGAAGGAGGCAGATTATAGAGGATTGAATTGAAGCCTTCTCCCCCACGCATGCACCAAAAGGATTTCCAGCAGGTCCCCCTCCCTCCCAAATATTAGCACACCAGAGCCTCTGCCCCCCCACCCCGAGACCCCTGCACTTCTGCCACCAGTCCCCCCGCAATCCTCCCCACCCGCTCTCTTTCCCGCCATCATAACCCAGCCATCAACCAGGCGAGCGCTACCTTCGCGTCCCGACATGGCGCTCCTACTGGCAGGCGAAGGCGCTTCTTTCTACCGTCCGCTCGTCTCGCAAGAAAAGCCCCCGACGGACAACCCAGAAACGCACCGCCTAGGAACAGAGCTCACACAGCGACTTCCGCCCGCACCCGTGACGGCGCAGCCATTGACACCAAGGGAAAAAAAATGTAATCCTAGAGATAGAAAAGGTGTAGGGTTCACTTCCGGAAATTTTTATCATGGGTTTTATCAAGGCGATCGTCCTCCATAACAAACACATTGGTGGGCTGTGTATATGTGGAGTGTTTTATTTATTTATTTATTTTTATTTATTTATTTATTTATTTATTTGATTTGCCAATTGTTTACAAGATAATAAGTATAAGCGTATACATAGTTGTGAATACATGAAATGGGTACATATAAGAAAAATAAAAGAATAAGAGAAACAATAGGACAGGGACGGTAGGCACGTTGGTGCGCTTGTATGAAAAGAGTATGAAGAGAGACTGTATATTTGTGTATATGATGTGACACGTTTTTGTAAGATATTTTAATATAATTTATGTACACGCGCTGGTGTTCTTCCTGTAGAACAGAAAAGAATTGATGTAGCTCTGAGTTAGCTGTGTGATCTTTACTACCGAGTCCTTACATATACTTCGTATATCTATCTACATCTACATAAATATATAAACATGTATATAGGATGTAATGCATGGAGTACAGAGAGCGCGTGTGTATGTATGAATGTATATATACACACAGGCTCACACGTTCGTATGTGTATTAATGTATATACACACAGACCTCCGTTCATACATGTGTATTAATGTATATACACACACAGACTCACACATTCATACATATACATGCCCTCCCTATACCCCATGTATGTGTGTCACATCATATACATATTTATATATTTATATAGATGTAGATAGATATACGAAATATATCCAAGTTCTCTGTAGTAAAGATCACACAGCTAAGCCACAGCTACATCTATTCTTTTCTGTTCTACAGGAAGAACTCCAGCGAGTGTGTATTATAAATTATATAAAAATATATTATCAAAATTATATAAAAATACATGCATTGCTGTGGACAATCAGATTGGTGGAAATAACCAATTAGGGATAGATGTTCAGTAGTTTTTTTTAAAAGGCTTTTATGAGAAGCGCCTCCCACCCGCTTGAATGAAACTATAATTTAATGCGGGAGGGTTTTCGCCGGCTTAGAATAGAATAGAATAGAATTCTTTATTGGCCAAGTGTGATTGGACACACAAGGAATTTGTCTTGGTGCAAATGTAAAAAAGAAAAGATACATTCATCAAATGTCATCAGGTACAACACTTAATAATAGTCATAGGATAGAATAAGCAATCATAGATTTGCTAAAGGTAGAATGACACCACCCCCACCGTCCTCAAAAAACGTCCGTAGCTATTGAAGACTTTCGCTTTTGGTCCTAAATTCTCCGATTGCGTTTCCCTACATCCACAGAGAGCCTTGCATTGTTTCCGCCGCGACTTTTGCCCGCTTCCGGCTCGGCGGCATGTGAACCCGAGGAAGGAAGCGTGCAGCGGACTGGAGGGGGAACGTCGTAGTAAGCGATTGAGTGAATGAATGAATGAAGGGGTCCCTTCGGGGCACAGAGAAGCAGGGTTGGGGGTTGCTGCGGTCCCGGGAAACGTGCACGTGGGGAGGCTTTAGGTGGGGCAACAAAGCATCCAAGGGGTGGGGGAGATGGAAGAAATAACTTCCTGCATGCGCGCAGCTCTAATTTTTGAGATCCAGTGGGTCAGCCAAGGAGGCTTAATTCCCCTGAAATCGCAATTTGATTTCCACTTCTCTTAAACGTAGCAATCTATAAATTCATTTGCAAGTTTCCCAAGTGCCGCCTTAGCAAAAATTGGTACAAAGCAGGAAGCGGTTACAACATTAAAACTTTATTATATAATTTCAAACATCGGATTCCTTTCCGGAATAATTGAAATAATAATGACAGAGCTTAAAAACAAAGGTGGTAAATTACAGGTTAGATTTAAAAAACAACAACAGGGTACCTGCAAAACGGACCTCTGAAGATGATCTTACTGTTGGAGCATGAAAGGATTTTCTTACGGAGATTAACCGAGCCTTCCTCAAGGCTTTGTAGCAGTGTCTCTCAACCTTGGCAACTTGAAGGTGTGTGGACCTCAACTCCCAGAATTCTGAAGCCAGCCAGGGAATTCTGGGAGGTGAAGTCCACACATCTTCAAGTTATGGAGGTTGGGAAGCACTGAAGTCTATAGTGTTTTTGAAAATGTTGAATTGCAACAGGGAACATGTCTTGTTGGCTCTCCTCGCAAGGATGAGTGAGAATTGTAACAGCATGGTGCTGACTTTGGGAAAGATGGACTGAAAACAGGATTTTGAAGGTTGTCCAGAAAGAAGAAGAAATAATAGGAGCTTTTTAAAAAAATAATTAAAAAAAATATTTTACAATTCAGTCAACAATGTTGTTGCCATACTGTTGGATTCAGGGAAGTTCCCAAAGCTGTATATCCAGTGACCCTCAATTTCAAATAGAAATGATAGAAACTGGCCTGGGGACACCATAAGTGGTATCCTGAGATGAGTTTGGGGAAATTGCTTTATCCCATAGCTGTAACTTGGACATTTAAATAAGATAAAGCCATAAGGGATAACACTGTTTCTAAAGGTAAATCTGGGCATTAGAATGAAAGAGTTGATATACCTCTTAAAATTTAGGGACTATGAGAGATAGGTCATATTCTGTGGGTGGCTGCCTTATGAGTAGCTCATTGCTCATATAAAGCAGTTTAGGCAGTATTCATTATGCTATAATGAATTCCTTGCTGTTGTTCCCTTTCCAATGAACAATATAGCAAGATGGCCATAAAACATCAGCTCATGTACATGTGTTTGATCGTATGTTTTAAAACAGTGTTTTCCAAACTTGCAACTTTAACATATGCAGACTTCACGCATTCTCGTGTTGGATACATAGGCAGCTAACAGTGCTATTTCTACGTTCTGTTTCTTCCCCTCGTGTAATGGGTTAATTATGATGGCTGTCAGTGTCTTACGGGCAATATTCTCTTCAGCCTTCTAAGGAAGCTGTATTTGTGAAGAAGATGTCCGTTTGCCACCCCTTGTTCCACTTCAGTCTTCGATAGACACTTTAGGCTGCGGTAATCGTGACTGTCTACAGTCCATTTTGATCTACCAGCTTCCTTCTTTTCACAAGTCTTTAATTTCCATTTTTTTCTTCCCCCTTGCCAGCCCCCACTTTTCCTATTTATTTATTTATTTACATCATGTGGCCACCCCCTCACAGAACATGACTCTGGATGGCATGCAATAAAACTACATCATAAAAACTAACAATTAAAAAAAACATCCCACAAAGAAGATCTCCGATCAGAATTAATAGTAGCAGATTAGCTGAAAAACTTATTATTAGAAGCAGTACAGCCATCTCACCAATTTACTACTTCCTTGGGAAGCCGGATGTCACTACCGTGTTTTAAGGGACTTCTAGAAATACGTCAAGAGATGGGGCCAGTCTCACTTTATGAGGAAATGACGTTGTACAGGGTAGGAACCATGAGACTAAAGGCCCATCTCCTGCGTCTTGCCAATTATAACTGCTTCATGAACTAGACCCATAGAGTACCCCTTCTGTCAGCCCCAATGGTGGAATCTGGCACTGAGTTGAGGGAAGGAGTGAAACACCTGATTAGCTTTGAGTCACTTGTCAGGAGGAAGCAGCTGAAGGAAGACCCCCTCTAAAGCTTCACAACATTTATCTAGTAGTTCTATAGTGAATGCTTTAGTCTTGCAAGATTCCTGTCTGTAGGCCGGCAACCATAAACATGCCACTCTGATCAGCTCTTCCTCTCATTTCTGGTTCCTTGTGTCTGACATGAGCAGATATAATCAGGTAGAGGTAGGTAAAGGTAAAAGAGCCCCTGCATATTTTATTCTGCTAGTTTTAGTTGACTATAAGGGTGGTGTTCATATCTGTTTCAAGGCCACTGAGCCAGCGCTGTCTGAAGAATTTTCTGCAGTCATGTGGTTAGCATGATGTCACAGAGCGCTGTTAACTTCCCCACTGAAGTACCTATTTATCTACTTGCATTTGCATGCTTTTGAAGAGTGGTGCAGTGGCCTAGAGGTGGAGCTCTTGCCCTCACAGTTGGGAGGCTGTGAGTTTGATCCTAAGTAGAGGCAGATATTTCTCTCTCTGGGCACACTGAGAATATATCTGCTGAATATAACTCTGCATTGGTGACCGGAAGGGCATCTGGCCAGTAAACACTCAGCTCCATTCAGTTGCCCAGACTCCACCCCGCAAGGGATTATGGGGTCGTTAAAAGAGGATAATAATTTGCATGCTTTCAAACTGCTAGGTTGACAGGAGCTGGGGCAAAAATGAGAGCTCACCCCATCGCATGGTGCTTAGGTCTCGAACCTGGGTTATCAGCTTTTCAGCTGACAAGCTCAGAGTCTTAACCGCTGAGCGATCGCACTGCCTCGGGTGTAGACAGATCCTCAAATAACTTGGTCCCAGGAGATGTGACATAGGGCTCTAAAGGTCCAAATCAGCACCTTGAATTGAGCCTGGAAGCAAATTGGCAATCAATACCTCTTGCAGAGCAGAGTTACACACGAGTAGAGTTACCGCTTGCAGAGCACGCTACACACATGTGCCACTCTAGAGACACATGTAACTGCTCATGCTGCCCCCTTTTGTTCCAGGTGAAGCTCCTGAACAGGCTTCAAGGGCAGCCCCATGGAGAGCACAATTATAGCAATCCAATCAAGAGGTTACATGGGGCATGAGTACCCCTGAGCAGAACTGCCTGCTCCAGGAATGTGCATAACTGATGCACAACATGAAACTGTGCAGAGAAGTTTTCTTTTTTTTAAAAAAAAAAAGCTACTATGGGTAAGAAAGTGTGTTTATCTCTGTCTCAGCTAATGTGAGCTATAAGATAGAACAATGTCGGTGCTTGGATAAGAAGACCACAGGATGGTAGAACAGGCCTGGATGATGACATGCTGTCATAAGGAGCATTGATGGCTTTTGACTCCAAATGTCTAGACTATATGGCTGATTTTATATATATCTCCATTCCCAACATCTGTAACTTGTTTAGGGACAGCTTTCAGGATAACAACATTATACAAAGAGGTATTCATTCATATCCATATAACTATCATTTCCATGCAAATCTTCCCGCATCCTTTACTTTACTTTACTTTCATCCCAAATCTTCTCATGATTTGTATTTTAATTTCCAGTCATTTTGCTGGAAGCTCTTGGTTTTATCTACTCCATTTACTTCCATAGAATTTTAATTATTTTTTAAAATCAAAATTGCTCTCCATTTTCCCTACCCTTTTAATCATATAATCCGTTGCTCTCTTTCATTTCTTTGTTTACAAGGTTTTTTCATTATGCACATTATAAATGATATTTTCCTCATTCTCATATTTTGTAGTATCATTCTCATATTTTGTAGTAATCTTCAATGTTGGCTTCATGTAGAGATTAAGAAGCATGAGGAGCAGATAAAGCCTTTAGAAGTCCATAGCAAAGTAAAATAATATGAAACAATGATTGCTTGCACCATCTGGAATTAGTCAGCAAAGTAGGAATGGAACCACCAGGTAATTGTGTCCTACAATCCCTCTTTCCCCTCCAGACAGCTAATCTGAAATCGATCTCATGGTGAAAAACCACTCAGAGATTTAATTGCTTGCGATAATCTAGTGGCCGCATTAGCAAGAGTCTTAAATAAAAATTCATGCCGTCCAAGAATTGCCTAGCATTGAATCCCAGTTACCACTGCCTGGGATCCTTGCTTCAAAATGGAAGATTAGCAACTAGTTCCTCAAGGTTCAAAACCGAGCTTATTTAGAAATAATGTTTGCAGCCATCTCTTTCTCCAAACTTTCAGTTTCCTATGCTTTTAAAAATGTCGTGGTATACTTCAAAAAATCTGTATATAGCACATGAAGAAAATGGGTGCACAAAAATGTATAAGTGAGAAGTAAGCTCCTCCAAACTTGAATATTTGTAAGGAAAATGCTGTAAGGTAAAGGTTCCTGTCGCATATACGTGCTAGTCGTTTCCGGCTCTAGATTGCTCATTTCCATTACAAAGCCAAAGAGCCAGCGCTGTCCGAAGACGTCTCCGTGGTCATGTGACCAGCATGACTAAACGCCGAAGGCACATGGAACACTGTTACCTTCCCATCAAAGTGGTCCTTATTTTTCTACTTGCATTTTTACATGCTTTCGAACTGCTAGTTTGGCAGAAGCTGTGACAAGTAACGGGAGCTCATTCCGTTACGCGGTGCTGGGGATTTGAACCGCCAAACTGCCTACCTTTCTGATCGACAAGCTCAGCGTCTTAGCCATTGAGCCACCACATCCCCTAAGGAAAATGCTGTACATATATATAAATGCGTACATCAGATTTGCTTCCAGAAATATGAATATATGGGGTTTTTTGCAAGTTTGAGGGGCGCTGAAATAGAAACTGAGTTAAATTTATTGCATGGAAAAATGAGAATCTGAGCACAACTGATATGGACCTCTCTATCTGTTTATCTAGATAAGTGGTTCCCAACCTTTTTTTCGCCCCGCACCCCTAAAGAAATTTCACTCGAACCTCGCACCCCCTGAAATAAATAATAAATAAAAATGCCAACATATAGCCAATATCCTATTATTTACCTGGACTTTTCTCGCACCCCCTGGAATATCGTCTCGCAACCCCCAGGGGGTTAATTAGCTTAAGAGAATTAAGAATCTTCAATGTTTCTATTTCTCATCCAGACAAAACACGTACAGTATGTGCTGAATTTCTCCACCCAACAGAGAGGGAGAGAATACAGGGTGGAAGCTAGAAATACAAAAATTATGGAGTATGGGAGACTGTGATTTTTTTCTCATCAGGAAAAGCTTTCCTTCCCCTTCCTTCCTTCCTTCCTCCCTCTCATTCACTCTTCTTTTTTCTGACAGTGAGAACAATTAATCACTGGAACATCTTGCCTTCAGAAGAGATTTTTAAGAAGTGATTGGACAGTCATTTGTCTGGAAAGTTAATATAAGGTCTTCTGCTTGAACAGGGATTGGACTAAAAGACTTCCAAGGTCTCCTCCAACTGTGTTATATTTTTTCTTCTGTTAAATTTGGGTGTAGCGAGTCCACATGTCATATCATTCTATGGATGTAGAGATTCATTTGGAGTTTGGGGCATGTTGAGGTAATTCCCCGTTAGGAGCATGAGCGCATACAGGGAGACGTATTTGAGAGGAGTGTTTGAATAATACACATACAGCACACAGATACACTGTACAGTAAATGTAGGTTTTTACTTCCAGAAACGTTAAGCAAAGTCCAAAATAAGCAATCCAAAGTCATTCACAGGTTAAATCAGTCAGTTTTTCATCCAGGGATAATCCAAATATCAAATTCCAGTGTCAAAAACAGTTCAGTATCAGACTTACATTAAATCCAGTAATATAAGTCAATTAGAAGAAATGGAGCAACGGCAATATTTTCCAACAGAAGGAAACAGAGATAGAGTCACACTCTCTTCTGAGATTAAGACTAAACAAACCAGGTTTCTGGCTCCATTTTATGGCCATTTGAGATGCATGCTCTTGCATTCCCTTAAAGATATAGTACTAAAATGTTTATCCTGGTTTATATATTACTAACCCAAATAGCTGTTAGATGACTTATATTCCTAACAGGGCACTCTCTGAGCTGCACGGTTTTTCTTGCATATCTTTCATTATCAAACTAGGGAACATCATCAGTGCTGGATTAATTTGAACACTCATTTCAACCCGTGGTTTGCTTTTTAAAAACCTTTGTAGATTAATTCTTTTTTTTTTAATGGGTTTCTGACATGGTACTCTTGTTGCCTTCGATTCTTGTCTCCTGGCAGGTATTCCCCCCCCTGCAATGGTGTCCTTGCATGCACAGCTCCCGTGAAGTGCCCAGACTTGCTAGTTCACTTGTTGTCAGCGCATCACAAAATGCAACGTCCCCATTTGTTATCTTTTGTGAGGATGTACTGCTCTCCGGCCTCCAAAAAGCCTGAAGCGGCCAACGCAATGGAAACGGCTAAAGTTTTTCTTTGTCGCCTCTCTGGAGCTGGAAAGGATTTGGGAAGACACTCCATTCAGCGAATCTCTGCAACCACGCAAAGCTGGTGGGACAAATACGAGGAATTTGTGGGCATCAACGAAGTCCGAGAAGCCCAGGGAAAAGTGGCTGAGGTAATAAAAGGATAATGGGTGCATCTGGGGTATCATTTCTTTGGGGTGGGAATGCCTGCTTACAGGTGGTCCTTGACTTACGACCACAACTGAGCCAGTGGTGGTATTTTACCGGTTCAGCCCAGTTTGGCTAAATCTGTAGCTTTGACGATCATCATGTGAGCGAACTGGTTTGCTCCAACGATCAGCTGTTGGGCCCTCCCACTTGCCTCGGCTCTGTTCTGACCTTTATTTCCTGCTTTTCAACCTCAGCTGCTTCGTGCGGCACAGCGGATTGCCACACGTCAGCTGTGGAAGACCCAGGGAGAGTGCAGGATTGCAGGAGAAGCTTAGGCAACCCTCTGCGTACGCGTGAAATGTGCGTTTGGCGCAGAACCGGTGGTAAAAAAAAAATTTGAAACCCACCAACTGAACTGAGCCCAAAATTTCTGTGGTTAAATCGAGGCAGAGAGGTGAGTTTTGCCCCATTTTTTTTTATAATCTTTTTTTTTTTTTTTTTGGCCATGGTTGTTAAACAGCTGTGTTGTTGTTAAATGAATCATGCGGCCGTTAAGTGAATCTGGCTTCCCCCCATTGACTTTGCTTGTTGAAAGCCAGGTGGGAAGTGATGATCACATGAAACCCCCCCCCCCCCGGGACAGTACAACCGTCACAAATACACGCCAGTTGCCAAGCACTTGAGATTTGATCATGTGACCACGTGGGTGCTGCAGTGGTTGTAAGAGAGAAAGCCGGTCATAAGTCAGTGTCTTCAATGCCTTTGTAACTTCTGATGGTCACTAAGTGAAATGTAAATGTAAGCAGGGGTGGGCTTCAAAAATTTTAGCAACGGGTTCTCTGCCTGGTTGCTGGGAGGGCGTGGCCATGGTGGGTGTGGCCTAGTTGGCCTCCTGCACCATGGCAGGGGGGCATTTTTGCTCTCCCTGGGCTCCAGAGGCTTTCCTTGAGCCTCCGGGAGGGTGAAAACAGCCTCCCCGGGCTCCGGAGGCTCTCTGGAAGCCAGAAACGGGCCCGTTTCCAGCCTTCCTGAACTCCCAGGAGGCCATTTTTCGCCCTCCCCGAGCCTCTGTGTGTGCCCTGCATCCAAAATGGGCCCTGTGGTGACTCCTGGGAGGGGAGGGGAGAGGAGGGGTGGGCAGGGCCAACCAGGAGTGGGAATTGGAGGCTCTCTGAACTGTGCAGAATCTTAACTAGGGGCTCTCTTGAATCTCCAGCAGCCTGGTTGTAAGTTCACAATTGAAAGGATGAGGTACAACAGTTGACCCAAAGGAACAACCTTCACAATATAACAAAAGGCTGTTAAAATGGTAACAACCAAACCTTCTCCTTGTCTTTGATGTACATAGCGGATGACATGATGAAGAGACTTACGACCACAATTGAGCCTAACATTTCAGTTGTTAAGCAAGACAGTTGTTAAGTGAGCTTTGCCCATTTGATGTCTTTTCTCGTCATAGTTGTTAAGTGAATCACTGCAGTTGTTGAGTTAGTAACATGGTTGTGAACCTGGCTTCCCCCATTGGCTTTGCTTGTCAGAAGGTCACATAAGGTGATCACATGACCCTTGGACACTGCAACCGTCATAAATATGAGCCAGTTGCCAATTGTCTGAGTGGGGAAGTGGCAATGGTCATAAATGTGAAAAACGGTCATAAGTCACATTTTTCAGTGCCGTTGTAACTTCGAATAGACTCTAAACAAAAGGGCAAAGACCATCTGTATTAGAAATATTACACTGCTCAAAAAAATAAAGGGAACACAAAAATAAGACATCCTAGATCTGAATGAATGAAATATTCTTATTAAATACTTTGTTCATTACATAGTTGAATGTGTTGACAGCAAACTCACACAAAAATTAACAATGGAAATCAAATTTAGCAACCCATGGAGGTCTGGATTTGGAGTTACACTCAAAATTAAAGTGGAAAAAAACACTACAGGCTGATCCAACTTTGATGTAATGTCCTTAAAACAAGTCAAAATGAGGCTCAGTAGTGTGTGTGGCCTCCACATGCCTGTATGACCTCCCTACAGTGCCTGGGCATGCTCCTGATGAGGTGGCGGATGGTCTCCTGAGGGATCTCCTCCCACACCTGGACTAAAGCATCCCCCAACTCCTGGACAGTCTGTGGTGCAACGTGGCGTTGGTGCATGGAGCAAGACATGATGTCCCAGATGTGCTCAATTGGATTCAGGTCTGGGGAACGGCTGGGCCAGTCCATAGCATCAATGCCTTCGTCTTGCAGGAACTGCTGACACACTCCAGCCACATGAAGTCTAGCATTGTCTTGCATTAGGAGGAACCCAGGGCCAACTGTACCAGCAAATGGTCTCACAAGGGGTCTGAGGATCTCATCTCGGTACCTAATGGCAGTCAGTCTACCTCTGGCGAGCACATGGAGGGCTGTGCGGCCCCCTAAAGAAATGCCACCCCACACCATTACTGACCCACTGCCAAAACGGTCATGCTGGAGGATGTTGCAGGCAGCAGAATGTTCTCCACGGCGTCTCCAGACCCTGTCACGTCTGTCACATGTGCTCAGTGTGAACCTGCTTTCATCTGTGAAAAGCACAGGACGCCAGTAGCAAATTTGCCAATCTTGGTGTTCTCTGGCAAATGCCAAACGTCCTGCATGGTGTTGGGCTGTAAGCACAGTCCCCACCTGTGGATGTTGGGCCCTCATACCACCCTCATGGAGTCTGTTTCTGACCGTTTGAGCAGCGACATGCACATTTGTGACCCGCTGGAGGTCATTTAGCAGGGCTCTGGCAGTGCTCCTCCCGTCCCTCCTTGCAGAAAGGCGGAGGTAGCGGTCCTGATGCTGGGTTGTTGCCCTCCTATGGCCTCCCCCACGTCTCCTGTACTGGCCTGTCTCCTGGTAGCGCCTCCATGCTCTGGACATTACGCTGACAGACACAGCAAACCTTCTTGCCACAGCTCACATTGTTGTGCCATCCTGGATGAGCTGCACTACCTGAGCCACTTGTGTGGGTTGTAGACTCTGTTTCATGCTACCACTAGAGTGAAAGTACCGCCAGCATTCAAAAGTGACCAAACCATCAGCCAGAAAGCATAGGAACTGAGAAGTGGTCTGTGGTCACCACCTGCAGAACCACGCCTTTATTGGGGATGTCTTGCTAACTGCCTATGCTTTCCACCTGTTGTCTATTCCATTTGCACATAGCATGTGAAATTGATTGTCAATAAGTGTTGCTACCTAAGTGGACAGTTTGATTTCACAGAAGTGTGATTGACTTGGAGTTACATTGTGTTGTTTAAGTGTTCCCTTTATTTTTTTTGTTTTAAAACAAACTTTATTGATTACAAAACCAAAATATCAAACAAACACAACACACAGAAGAAGAAAGAAAAGAAATAGAAAAAGAGAAAATGATTAAAAAAACTAACAATTCTACTATCGACAGTCTATGGTTCCTTGTTTGTTATCAATATTGGTGATACATTTACAAATACATCTTATTGCGAATATATAATTATGATTTACATTTTATGTTATTTACTAATATATTTTCTATTTTTGTTCTATCCAATCATACCAGCATTCCCAGCTTCTATAATATTCTGATGTTTCTTTTTCCTTAAGTGCTAAGTAAGGTTAACTTGTCCATCTCTGCACAGGCTGTTATCTTCTGTATAACCATCTCCACTGTTGGAATATCTGCTTGTTTCCAACACTGTGCAAAGGTTATTCTGGCTGCAGTAAGAATATGCAGTATTATATATTTAACCTTTTTAGGAATTTGTCTATTAAATATCCCCAATAGGAAGAATTCTGGTTTTAATTCAATTTGCTTCGCCGTTATTTCCTCTAACCATTTTTTTATTCTATGCCAGTATCTTTGGGCTTCAGTGCAGGACCACCACATATGAAAAAATGTTTCCTGTTTCTTTTTACATTTCCAGCAATTCGGATTCATGTTAGGAGACATTTTCGCTATTCTCAAGGGTGAGAGATGCCATCTATAAAACATTTTATAGGCATTTTCTTTATATGCTGCTGATCTTGTAATTTTATTATTCCTTGTCCAAACCTTTTCCCATTCTAATAATGTAATGCTACGTCCTATGTTTCTGCTCCAAGCTATCATGTTGCCTTTGACTACTTCCTCTTCTAATTCTGTCTCTAGTAAATAATTATAAAATTTAGTTCTACATTCTAATAATGTAATGCTACGTCCTATGTTTCTGCTCCAAGTTATCATGTTGCCTTTGACTACTTCCTCTTCTAATTCCGTCTCTAGTAAATAATTATAAAATTTAGTTATATTTTTTTAATCTGGACCTAATAAAATTTTATCTATTTGTTGTGCCTTGGTATAAATTCCAAATTTTTTCTTGTCCTGGCTATATCTATTTTGAATTTGCAAGTAAGGTCTACTTGTAGCCCTTGTTCTTGGAGATCTTGCCATGATTTTAAAGTTCCTTGCGCATCAAGAAGGTCTTTGTATTTTATCATTTTATTAAGATCTAGATTGTTTGGATGTATCATCGCCTCCATCGTTGAGATCCAAATTGGGATTTTTAAATAATGTTTTTTTTTTATTTTGTTCCAATTAGCCAATAAGGAATCACTAATTATATGTCTGTGGAAATACTTCTGCTTAATTTTCCCAATGTCCCATAAAAATGCATGCCATCCCCTCTGTAAATCATGGCCTTCTAAAAATAAGATCCTTTTATTCGACAGATTTACCCACTCTTTCAACCAGAGTAAGGAGGCTGCACTATAATATAATTCCAAATTTGGGAGTGCCATACCTCCCCTGCTCTTCATATCTTGCATTGCCTTTAGGTTTATCCTTGGTTTTTTCCCTTGCCAGATAAATTTGGTGATTATCTTGTTAAGTTCCACGAAGTAATTTTTATGTATTTTTATTGGTATTGTTTGGAATAAGTAAATAAATTTGGGCAGAATATTCATTTTTATAGTGGCAATCCTCCATAATAAGGAGATTTGCAATTTAACCCATATCTC